TCATTGAGACTCAAAAAAGGACTATGAGAACTGGTATAGTGTTAAATTGATCTGTTCCCATATCATCAAACTATATCTTTTAAAGCCATAGGCATAGATAATTTGTTTGTTATCATGTTGAGCAGCATAATCTTCTTACTTTCTTGAGACTTGAGGATGAAATAACTCTTGATTTGTTTATATTTTTGTCAACCGATTTTTTCCAATGCAATCTAATTCATTTAAATAAGAGCACTAAGAAAGCTCTGTATAGCCATTTTCACGTATGCAAATATCTAGATAATTTCAGGAGGACTGCTCCGGAGAGTCTCCCGACCTGGCTGTTCAATGAAACGTTAAGGATGGGAACAACTGGTGATGCAAACTAAATCCTCTGGTCAGACTGTCTAATTTAAGTCTTGCCTGAGCAGTTTATGCAGGCTACAAAGGCTGGGTACTTGGTAAGCTGGATCCTTTGTAAGATGCAACCCCTGAATATGGACACAGCTAGGGTCTCTGTAGTAAGTGGCTGGCGTCATGTGTCCAATCTGCTGTGATGCCTTAACTTCTAAAAATAGGACACAACACTGTGAACAAAGTTTGAATACACAGGATACAATCTACAAATGTATAAACAAACAAACACATTTTTTTAAAGATACAGAAGTAGTCCTCATAACAAACAAGAAATGCTATGGAGGACATATTTTAAAAGTTAATCTTGTACTCCATTATTGTTAGCCATGTATGATTAAATGTCTGGCAGCCAAAAATACTTTCTCCAAATACCAAACTACCTATTTTAGGAATTTATGAACATGGAACATGACTCACTAAGAACGAAAACCTATTGAAAAAAATGGAACCGTAGGTCAGCTTGCCACAATGAAACTACTTAAACATTACCTTTAAACAAAGTTGAAAAGAAAACAGATCTGTTTTTGTTCTGAAAGAAAATGTCTACTCACCGTTGTTTGTTGTTTGTGTCCTTTATTATAAACAGAAAGTAGAGCTCAAGCTTGTACGCACAGCTTGTGAAGCAGCACTGTTTGAGCTTCTGACACGTCTGTCAGCCACTCAACAGCTGCGTTCCATAAATCCAACTCTGATTGTGCCATTTGATCACCAGGAGATGGTGCTACAACTCACCATGCATAACCACTAAGGCTTCCTCTGCATATTAGGACTTCTTGCAGATATTTAAAAACCCTAAGAATGCATCTGACAAACAAACAAAAGAAAGAGGGAAGCGGGAAGATAACTAATCTTCATTAAAGAATTGTGTTCTCTCTTTCTTTCTTACACAGAAACTGTCAATAGAAATCAAAGCTAGTTTGTCATGCATACCAGAGTTACTTTCATGGCCCAACCTTAGGACCCACGCAGTCCGATCTAATTTGAGCCTTAAGTCACACTGAGTGTAATAACCTACACTGAGTCTATCTAATGGCTCCAACCAGATATAGTCAGCAGGGCCTTGAAGAGGGCTGTTAGTATGACATGTAGTCAGAGTTTAGAGAAGCCAGGTAACAAACAGAAAGTTTAATAGACATGAGGGTTGTAGATGTTGAAACTAAACTGTTTGTGTTATAGTTGTTGAATTAAAACAGTTAAACGCTTATTCTAATAACTTAATATATGTATGTTATGTAAACAAATAAATAAACAGTGGTCATCCTTCTATATAACTTGAATATAAGTGATTACTACTGTTAATAAGAGTAATCATACTTCTAAACTTTTTCATGTGTCGATATGAAAGTTGTCAAATCATGGGTCTAGGGACAAATTTAAAAAATCTTACTAGAAAGGAGCCCTATAAGATTTTAGCAAGGCAACTATAATTAAGTGACCTACCTGACAAGAGCTAGCTGCCTGGTTGATACACCTGTCAACAATGAATGCAATTCAGAATCAATACTCATACTTATTAGTCCCTTTTTCAGCTGCAGGAACTAGGGACCTTTTGAGGAACTCATGTGTATTTCTAATGTAAGATGAACCAGGGTATAAATTTAGTTCGGGGGTGAAAGATCTATCCCTACGAAGGACCCTTCTATGGGTACTTTCTAAAGGTCCAGGAACTTTGGGGGGCAGGGCATGCAGCCCCTGCAGTGCTGAAAGTCTCCAATTGGTCAGGCACAGCAGGGTTTTAAAACAAACACAGTGTTTAAAAGACTGAGGGCGTGGTCACACTGGCCATCCGTACCGTTCCCAACCCTAAAGTCCAGTTCGTTTGGTCAGTGTGACCGCTCCGTGTGGAGCCAAACGACAAAAAATAAGATGCAAAGTCAGTAAAGTAGCTGTCATGGGGTGCGTTCAAATTGTCATTTTAGTTTAGGAAGGTTCCTAACTGAGTGAAATGACCCAGAAGCATTTAAGTGGCAGCCATGATAAGGGCGTTCGAATTCTCTAAAAGCTAAGGAAAGGTGGGTCAATGCTTCCTTTATAACCTCCTTTAGCATAGGATACACTGGACCATCCTTTACCAAAGGAGATGAGATATGCCGCCCCACAATTCCTTTCAGCCACAACATTTAAAGCGAGGCCCTTTCCAAATAGCCACAGTTCAGTATGCAGTACGTACTATTCAGTAGGGAGTTTCAGTATACTGAACTTTTGTGGTCCTGCAGTATGCATTTTTTGGGTCCACCTCAGTATACTGAACATTTCAGTATGGATACGGGTTTTATGCAGTATGGATCGGATGCGTGCTTTCAGGAAATGAATTGTATTTTACCCACAATGCTGTGCGAAATTACACGTAAATCGTTGCGTCCGCCTCCAAATCAAAACAAACGAGCGTGGATTAATTCAATCAATTTTTAATCTAGAGTTAAAGTCCCGACTGAAATCACTACTTTAAATTAACAACAGAAAATATAACAAATGTCTGCATTATTATAAAACCTTTCCCCCTCTATTTAAATAATGAGTTCACTATTTAAATGCGTCTTTATTGGTTTATTTTATATTCTGTATATTACTGTCTTTCATTTGTACTTTTCTTTATGTACTGTATGTGATTTAGTTATTTAATCTGCCTTTTACTTGATTTACATTGTGATATTGTTTTGTTTACCTGACTGTATATGAGCATTACTCTTCTTGAATAAAGCTAAACAAAAGAAAAACAAAAAAAACGGGTGAATGCGGCCGGTTCAGGAAACGTAAATGACGTCACTTCCATACTGAATGAATCAGAAGAAGTAGGAACAAATATCTGCCTACTGAATAGTAGGTACTAACAGTATACAGCACGGATAGTACGTACTGCCTACCACTGGCGGTTCTAGACCATTTTTACTGAGGGGGCCAAACTGGGGCCAGTTGTTTTGTCAGAGGGGAACATTAAACCCAGTTGAAAAATAGACAAAGATGATCGCTTTAAAAAAGACATTGTGCCAAATACAAGCGCACATCATAAAATACCTCAACATAAAATACCATGATTTATATTTGTTTCAGTAACAGTATTTAAAACCAGATTGTGAGTCCAGTTGTTTAGTCAAATACTGTGTATGTGTTGTGAGGGGGGGCTCTTCCCTTTGGAGGGGTGGCCACAGGGGGGACCAAGTTCAGAGTTACAGGGGCACTGGCCCCTGTTGGCCCCTGTTGGCCCCTGACCAGAACCGCCCATGCTGCCTACTGCCTACTGACAGATTGAGTAGGTACTTCGCAATTCGGATACAGCCCGAGTCACACATCCGACCGTTGACGGAAATGAACGATGATCGTAAAGTGACACAGATTAAGGCATAAAAAGATAAGAGACATTTTTATCCAGATGATGTTTTATGCAACATATTTAATTCACTTAAGAATGCTTTGTGCAGTTGTACATTTGTATGCTTAAAACATTTTGTGTAGGTTATATCTTACATAAATGTAGCAATTAATTTCATACATTAATATTTATTTTGATGTTGATTTATGAGTGGACAGGAAGCTGATGGTTTCACTGTTTTTACTTGTAGCCTGGTAGTCTATATTTATTTTATTTCAACCCAACCTTGTGGTGATTAGGATTATTTCACCGGTAAGAAGGCACAGGGGAAAGTTTTTTAGATGATCTTTTTGTAGTCCATTTTCGGAAAATTGTAGTTTCACCACGGCAGACTCACGTCATTCACCACCGCCATCGCATAATGACGTAGCCTAGTGGAAATGTGGATTGTCAGAGTAACGAGATCGCCTTTCCCTAAGTCCTTTATGAATTCTCCTAACATCTTTCCTTGACCTCATGACGTTTTCCCCGGGGTTAAGGTAAAGTGGATAGTGAAAGGAGATAGGAGGGACAATTTGAACGCACCCTTCGGAAAGGGCCGGCCCATTCCTTCGTGGAGGAAATGTGCAACAATTAAAAGTTTCCGTCGCACAACACGAACCAAAAACATAGTTCCTACATAGCATTAATACAAAATCAGACCGTTACCATATAGACTGTAAATATTACGGCCGTTACACCGAAAATAAATTAAAAATAATATGAACAACAAATAGCCTACAATAAATGACATAGCATTATGTTTTTATTCCTCTACATGGCACTTTAGGCTGTACATAGTAAAGGTGTACCAAATGTTCTGCCATTCTTTCCTTTTTGATAATTACTTTATCTTGCGATGTACTGACTGAAGTTCCATAATGTTGGGACTCCAGTTTAAAGACCTTTGCTACTTGATCTGCATGTTCGTTTCCTTTAATCCCTCATTAATGTGCTGTTATACATATGAGTGTTAATGATATATGCCTCAGTCTATTTGTTATCTATAGCTATTATTGCATTTCATAAATAATATATGTCTACTATCTGATTTCTGATTTTCATTAAAACTGAACGTGAAACCGAATTACAATGTTTGTAAACATTTAAATGACAGAGGATCAAAAGATAAATGTAATCGTGCTCATATCACTTTTGGTTTTGTTAGATCTAGTTGTAAAAGGTGTGGAGCAATGTGCTGGGTGAATAAAATGGTCAAAACCTAGTTTAACGTCGAAATGTGTAAAAACTCAATTTCCCATGAACCCCTATTGCATTTCCGGATAAACGGGTTTTCTAAGGGGCAGTTGCACGGGAGAACTTCCTTTTGCTCCGACATCTTAACGAGGAAACATGGTGAGCTTTCTCATTACACGTTTTGTCCAAACAAAATGTATAAATACCATATCGTAGTCACTTTTATCAAGTCCAAATTATTCAGTTCATATGACACGAGCTATTTGATTCCTCACGATGTGATAAAATGTGAGGATTAATCAAACTCCTTGTTTTTATTACCTGTTACCGACTGGCCGGCTAGCTAGCCATCTTGCTAATATCACCATGCTTGTGTGCTACATTGTTGTTAAAGTGAATAATCCCGTGTTTACTGCTATAATACAATTACTTATGACACGTACGCCTGAGGTATTACTGTTTGCTCTTCACAACGAAGAGAACAATGAATTTTGCCTGTGCATAATAGTAGCACTCTCTTCTGAGGCAAATTAGCATTGAATTACAAGTCAAGCCCGAGTCGGCCCGTCGACTTCAGCTCAGACCGCCGACTCTTTACTTAAGCCTGGACCCCCACCCCCCAACAATCATCTTGTATAACTATCCCTGTAAAATAAGGTTTGTGTCGGTGCCACATGACCTTAACACAATAGTTCTGAAGTGTGAAAGGGGCGATCCCCTTTCACACTTCAGAAAAACCAATGTCAAATTTTTTGAAATTTATTTTTCCCACTTATGTAAACGTATGTACAAAAGTACTTACTCAGTGTGTATATTACAGCAACAATGCAGGTGTCTGCCAGTCTTTTACACTTACAGATGTTCACCTATGTCTGTGATTTCTAATCTCTGGCACCTTAATTTTGGGGTCACAAGCTGAGAAGTTTGGGAGCCTTAACCCGTTCTGGATAAGACAGTGAGAAATTGTTACTTGTTTGTTTCCAGCCTCCTAAGCAAGACAAGAAGAAGGACACTGGGAAGTCCAAAAAGGATAAGGACCCAGTCAACAAGTCCGGAGGCAAGGCCAAGAAGAAGGTACATGTTTCCTAATCACCCAGAATCTGCATTGATCTATGTGTTGTGGGCCTTTCATGACTAATGTTTTTGTGATTCTGAGCAGAAGTGGTCCAAGGGAAAAGTGAGGGATAAGCTCAACAACCTGGTGCTCTTCGACAAGGCGACCTATGAAAAGCTGTACAAAGAAGTTCCCAACTATAAACTTATCACGCCTGCTGTTGTGTCAGAGAGGCTGAAGATCCGTGGTTCCTTGGCAAGGAATGCCCTCCAGGAATTGCTTGCAAAAGGTGAATAATTCTGCTTAGCAACCCAAAAGACTGCATATAAGATCAATTCAATCAGATATATTTTATTGTAGATTACTGACTAATGTGTTAAAGCTTGAGTATTGTACTCTACTAGACTACTTTCATGCTGCAATAATGTTCAGTTTTGAATTAGAACAGAGGGCTGAGGTCATGTTTGCAGTAAACTTCAGCGTGAGGCTGTGAGGGGAAAAAACCATAGGAATTTGTTATGGATGCCCGTGATGAATAGAGTCAATGGAGTTCACCTACCAATGTGCAGCGAGTAACAAAGCTCTCAACCTGATGCATGTTCATAGCCAATCAGAATTGGCGATGCAGCGTGATGTGCTAGGTGTGCAGTCTAGGTACATTTTCTGCCCATATGTTTGGCATTTAAGACTAAAGAGCTAGCAAGTGATTGATCTCCCTCACTCTGTACCCATCATGCATGTTGCAGTACACTACACTGCAGGTGACCAGAGAGGAGAGATTGCAGCTGTGAGGTCTTTAAAGGAAAAATGTGAAGTGAAACTTTTTAAACCCCGTGTTTTGTTGTTTCACAAACTTGACAAATACATTTAGTTTGATCATAATTATAAAGTTTGCAGAAAAGACACAAATTGGTGCAAGAAAAATAGATTAGAATGCAGGAAAATAAATCCAAGAAATCTTTTTTGGGGAAAACCCCCAGACCCCCCTCTTACCTGATGGTTCCAGCTGTTAGACAGCAAATAATTACTTTTAAAGTCATCAACCAAGAGGGCAAGTGATACTTGGCCCCTTAAATTACTATTTAGTTTGGATGGGGGTCTCACAAAATTTGAATCCTCTAGGCATGACACAAATAGTTTGACAGCCACTGTGGAGTGAATCTGTGCAGTTGTGTTGAAAATTCTTTAAAGTTGCTACACTCTTAATCATCACATACTGCTTAGGATGCTAAACTCTGGACTTGTAACACTTTAAATGGCATGAATACCTACAGGACCACTAAGTTGTGGGACTGATTAACTGAATCATTTTAGTTTAGTGGTTATACTAAGCTGACAGAAAACATTGTCCTGTTATATCTTCAAGGCATGATCAAACTGGTGTCCAAACACCGAGCACAGCTGATTTATACCCGGAACACCAAGGGTGGAGATGAGGAGGCAGCAGCACCAGAGAAAGCATAATCAGGTACAGCATTGTTATTTTTTATAAATGCATGCATCTTAAATATATTTTTAACTGTATCCACTGACCCTTTGCTTTTGTGTTGCAGGTTCTCCTGTTTGCTTCCTTTTTAATACGCTGTAAGGAAAGGTGAATAAAAAATTGTAGACAAAACACTTGCATTTGTTTTCATGTTAATACTGTTCTGACCAGGTTATGTTCCTAGTTTTGGTTCAAAGGTGCTGTTACAACTGCAAGGATGTTAATGAACTATTGTAGTTAATGTGGTATATCATTTAAGCATTCTTTCAAAGCACCCGGTTAGGGGCCACTCCCACTAGGCAATACTGTGCCTAAGCATGCTGCATGCACCTTCAAAGTCCAGTTCATCTGACTAGTGTGAGCGCTCCAGTTAATGCTTAAGCACGGTACAGTTCATGCACAAGCAAGGACATTAAATGTGGCTCGTCAGACTTGCATTGTCCAGAAATCCTGTAGTGTTGTGGTTGTTTCTGACTAAAATAACAAAAGGCCTCAAGGGGAATCATGAAGTGCTTTTCGTTCCACAGCCTTAGCACTACTTTTTAATTAATTTTTGCATAGACAATTCTCATATTGGCTTAGTGTTCAAAGTTAGTAAAATTAAACATGCATGGTAAATTTGATAAAAACACTGATGTTTACTACATCAAAGTTCTCAGACTAATTGGGCAAAGAAGGAAAGGAGGAAGCACACCAAGGACAAAGATGGCTGAAGGGAGACACTACAGGTGAATAGGGTAAAATGTTAACTGAAAGATGTTGCCAACTTCCCCAGTTGTTTCTTTGCTAATTTTTTCCCCCTACAAATTTCTGAAATATTAATTTAAAATATGCACTATTTTGCATAAATTTCAACCACACAGTTTTAAGTGTTGAATAAAGCCACTTTATTTAAAATCTTGTTTAAGTCAAAGGTTCCTGTATCTCAGTTGGGAGAGCAGAGCACTAATGAAGCTGAGGTTTTGGGTTTGATTGTGGTGAAACAAGTACATGTATTGACTGCTTCACAAAAGAATTGGCAGGGTCCTCTGAGTTCATGGATCCAGAAATCGGAGTATTAGCCAGGATTTCTCAGTCACTATTTCAACTAACCCTTAACCTGGACCACAAGGGTAGACCTGGTCTACAAGATAGACCTGATCAAACAAGGAAACATAATGCTAACATTAAATGTTTAGAATTTAAAATACTTACTGACAGGAACATGTAACCAAGTCATTCACCTTTTACTTAGAAGCTCTAAAAGTTAATAGAACAACCAATTTCCTTACAACTGAGAAACTATTAATATTACTATTGATGTAAGATGTAGCCTGGCTCTCAACTTGTCTGCTTACATTGTCTCAACAAAAACCACATCACATTGCGATTGTTAGAGTGAAATACTAGCTGGGGAAAATCACAGCTCAGCCTCCTATTCAATTGATCCTGCCTACAACAAACTGATTATCACAAAGTAAATATTCACAGTGAACACACTTGAACCTCTGGACTCTATGCTGGTCATTTGGGGACACTTTCTTTTTGTGACCTCTTTAGCTGTGTTAATGCACACATAGACACAAGGGTCTGATTTCTTTTTTCTGATTTTAAAATTTTCAACTTCAGCTCTTTAAATATATGAATAAACGGTACTGCAGGGTACACTCCTGGCCAATTGAAACCCATGAAAACTATTTTAATAGTTCCTTCATATTTACAGTATAAAATCATACAATTTATGTAAAATAGCTTTCATTCTAGAGAACACTAGTTTTGAAGGTTTTCTACCAGATTGTGTCATTTATTCATTTTTGGCCATGGGAGCAATTACATGTAATATTCTTAGTTATTTTTTATGGTAAATAATTTATTCACAAATATAAATGGAACCAGAAAATACCAAAAATACAACAATTTAAAATAGAAATGGAACACTATCTACAAACACTACATGGACTGAAAGACAAAAAAGAAAAGAAAAGTCTGGATATTTGTGAAAAATTGTTAATGTAACCCTGTTTTTCAGTTCATCAGACGTCCTTTCCTCCACAGTGTGACGTCAAGTGACGTTGACACTCAGCTGTCTGTCGGCCTTAAGAGCTGTTTGTGTCCGCACAAATATGCACTGTATTATTTCCAATAAAATACATACAGTAACAGTGTATCGTTTGTGTACTTTACCTGATAACAAACATCATGAAGAACAACCTGCAGTCTGCTAATAAAGAAAACAAACAGACAATTTCTACCGGCCAAAAGCTTAAATAATAATAATTTATTAATGTTTTGTTTTTACTGATAATCTGATAGTGAGCTGTGTATTTTATTTTTTTTAAAATAAGGATGTCTCAGGATTATTGTAAATGTTTTATTACGATGAAAATTTCATCAAAACAGTGGCCTGTACATCACATTTTCAAACCTTGCGATCATTAACGATCATGAGGAATGTAAAACGTGTTAGTGACTGACAGAAAATAGAAAATGCTGAATAAAGAGAGAGGAAAAAAAAGTTAAAGTTATCTGTGGTCGACTCCACATCCCCACACAGTAGGTGGCGGTAATGCACCTGAGAGCTGAGTGTCAAAAAGAAGAAGAAGAAGAAGAAGAAGAAGAAGAAGGTCATATGACACTTTTATCAGCTGACACGATACTGCAAAGATGGTGATCTTCAGTGTGTATGTTGTGAACAAGGCTGGAGGTTTAATTTACCAATATGACAATTATACCCCGAGAGCCGAGGCTGAGAAAACATTCAGCTATCCTTTAGATATAGTACTTAAGCATCACGATGAAAAGGTAGTCGTTTCATTTGGACAGCGAGACGGAATAAGAGGTAATGTTTGAAAGCGTAACACAAGCTAATGGAGCTACTTCAGCTGACGACGTTTCCTACGATATTCAACAACTATAAGTAGACACATATACGCTTTATTGTACCTTTCAGTATAGATAATTATAGAGTTGCTTAGCCCGACTGTTACTGTCTTAACTAGTTTCGCATTAAGTCGGCCTTGTTGTGCTCTGTATTCACTGCGTCATGTTTCAAAGCTTTCGGATTTGTTGACTTGTTTTTGTTTTTGTGTCCCTCTCCAGTGGGCCATGCAGTGCTGTCTATAAATGGAGCTGATGTGATTGGCAAGAACACGGCAGAAGGAAAAGACATCCTTGAATACTTAAAGGATCCCTCTAATTATCCAGTGTCTATTCGTTTTGGACGAGCACGCCTGAGCTCCAATGAAAAACTGATGCTGGCATCTATGTTCCACTCGTAAGACATACAAATATTTATACATTCACACTTACTTCACCTTGGGGTTGTTGAGCCAAGTACAAGCCATAGTTTTCCCGTGGGGATTAATAAAGTATGTTTAAAAAAATAATAATAATTAACAACCGCACTTTGAGATGTTGTGTGCTCTGTGTGTCAACATGGTAGACTAAGGGAAAAGGTTTCACTTGATTTTAATGACATGCTTTTGCAACAATTTGACTGTGCTAAGCTCCAGGTTTAAAGCTACTTCCTCATCTCGCAGGCTGTTTTCAAAACCGCATACTATACTACTGGTACATACTGATTTGGCCAAAATGCAGTACGCAGTATGTGAACAACTGCGAGACCTGCAGTATGCCAAAAATACCAGGATGTCATACTGATTCGGGAAAATTGTACAGTATGCATCGGAACAGTCTACTTCGCGTACTGTTTCCCACAATGCAAAGTGCCAGGTCAGAGATCACAATGCCGGAGCGCAGCTGTTTGAACTCGTCAGTGGCGGTGACTGAATATTTTGCCACATTATAAACCAATAACAAGTATGACATGTTCATATATTTATAAGTCTTACCACCTCGGATTTTCCTGCTTTGTAGACTGTACAGTGCATGTGCCACAGCTGGACAAGCAGCTGCAATTACAGGGTCCTTGGCTCGCTCTATTACTACAAATTATTCACAGCTGAGTAAAACCAGTTTAACCGGGGCCAAGCATACTGCAAAATAACTGACGACCGGCAGTCATACTACATACTACTGTTGAACTCAGTATACAGTATATACTGCATACTGATTTAGATAGTAGTATGCGGTTTCAAAAACAGCCACAGTGAAGGACAGACATTTTTTGCAATGCTTTATAAATCAGTCAGGTCTGACCAACGTGGAATCATTTACCCATTAAAGTTTTGCATATAGTTTTTAAGTTTTATAGATATAAGTGCAGCCCTGATGTAAGAATTATAGTTCCTGTTTTGTGTATGTCTCCAGGCTGTTTGCTATTGGTTCACAGCTGTCTCCTGAAGTTGGCAGTTCAGGGATTGAGATGCTAGAAACTGATGTCTTCAAGCTCCACTGCTTCCAGACTCTAACAGGTCAGTGGTGTGACTGAGGGCGACTATAGGTGACATAAAGACTGGGTGCCATGATGTTGTCAGTCATGAGTTATATTGAGAGAAAAAGTAGAGACAGTAATATTTAGCCCAACTGGCCCATGGCAAATCCCCTTGTGTTACATCCTTATAAAACACCCCCCTTAAGAATGTCTGCCCTAGTCACTTATCGTGTGTCTGAGTGAAACATTTTTAAACAGGTTACTCTTTAATGGATGATTTCTTGATATTTCAGGGATAAAGTTCATTGTGCTGGCGGACCCTCGACAATCTGGCATTGATGCGCTGTTGAGGAAAATTTACGAAATATATTCAGATTTTGCCCTCAAGAACCCATTCTATTCTCTGGAAATGCCAATAAGGTAGTAGAAAGTATCATGATGATTTGTCCTTCATTCTATTGTTCTTATGTGTTTTAACCTTAGAACCTTAACCTTACATTTTATACATCTCAAGTGTCTAACACACACACACACACACACATGTAATTGCTTGTCTTTTAAGCCACTTGAATGTTTGATTTTTAGGTGTGAACTCTTTGATCAGAATCTGAAGAGTGCACTGGAGATTGCAGAGAAAGCTGGCAACTTCGGAGCTGGATCTTGAACCAGGGAAGACCAGAGTACATTTTCTATCATTTTAATTTCACAGCAGGTTCAGAGGCATTTTAAGACTGGGATTGCAGTTGGTTAAAACAAATATGACATTTTTATTTCATTTTCCTAGACTGGGATTTCATGCTATGTAAATAACTTTTTTGTAAATATGTGAGAATTAAATTACAACCTGCATTTAAATGTTTTGGCTCCATTTATATAGAATTATGTCTGATCTAACTTCAGTCAGCTGGGCGAGGTACATAACTATGAAAGTAACTGAAAAAGAAAAATCGAAGTATTCAAGGTTCATTCAATCCACTGGCCACACATTTAATTTCAACAAGACAGTAATGTGTTGTATTCTCTATTTATGAGGTATAGTTTATTTTAATGCACAATTTATAATGTGCAGTAGTTTACATTCCCTTGTTGAGTTCTTGATGCCATGTTTACATAATGTAAAAAAAATGTGTAGACAGATAAGAAAAGAGATCAACTTCTCAGAACCTCCACTTATGTTTGTCTGGTGTAAGACTGACTGAGAAATTCTTTATTTAAAAAAAAAACATTGAAGTAATGGAAAATTAAAATACACTGTTCACCCAAAGTATTCGGTTTCCTCTGGGGGATCGAGGATGAGGTGTAGTGACGGTTTATTCAGTCTTCTTTGACACATGACCCATCTTTGTTCGAATGTTGCGCAGCAAAAAAAATCCAATAGTGGCAGCAGCACATGTGATCTCTGCTATCCAGAAGGCCATTTCCCAGCCATGGTACTTGGCAATGGTGCTGAACGGCAGGCCAGACAATAATCCCCCAACTGAGAAGATGATAGGGGTCATGGATTGAGTTATTCCAATGATTAGGGATATTAAGTTATTTAAAACCAATCTACTCCAGGAATGTCTTTAGGCATAGAATCTTACAATATATAAACTGAATAAAGACAAAACATGTGACAAATATAGAAACTTTGCCTTGGCATTGCATTATCAAAACAACAGAAGAAAATACTGATGTGTTATTGATGCACAATATGCTTAATCTCAAAAAAGAAAGCCAACAAACTTACTGTTAGCCATCAGGGCAGCAATTGCATGGGATGTTCCACAGTAGTTGGCTGGGGCACTCTCATGGGCTATAACTCCAAACAATGCTATTGGTCCATAGGAAAAGAAACCAAAGGCAGCACCCAGGCTGAGTATCCAGACCTGATGTACAAAAATCCACGAGAATTACAAAGTCTGACATGCAGTATGCTCTGTTCAAGATAATCTAAGTCATTCATTTTGGTCCAATCGGATGTCAGTGTTCAAATACCGTTGAGCTGTGTGGAGTTACTGCGACTCTGAATAGGTACATGGACACATACATTCCAGCCATCATGAAGATCAGGATGAAGTGGCGAGGATTGCCGTAGATTCTCTTGCCTTGCTGTTCAAAATCAGTAAATATATGAAGTAATTAAGAGATTTTTTTTTGCTCTCTATAGGCAGAATTGTATTGGTCTTTAATGTATAAGTTACAAAATGACTAATGTCATGTAATCTTTAGCCTACAACATTTTTCTGCAACATATTTAACATTCGTACCAGGATACTCCCACTGAGATACAACATCTCATTTACAAACAAGTCTTGACAAATTTTCTTATCAAAGAACAAACAGTGAATTACACAAGCAAAAAACAAACAATAAATAAGTAGTGTCCAGCAGCAGGTCATTGACTGGCCTGACAATACAAAAATGATATCCCAATATTATGACATAATCTAGTTAAAGACATGTTAACCCTCTTCTTTCTGATTAATAGTGAACATGTCAACCTTTTTGCTGCTCCTCTTTCCCTCATCTATACGATTTAAATCATACAAGTGTGTTTAATATATAACTCACTGTGGCCACAGCTTTATCAGAGATGTATCCTGCTGCAAGAGTGCCCAAAAGGCCTCCAACCTCCAGGGCACTCATGTATGAGCTACCTATAAAGAAGAATATAGTGATTACAAAGAATAACTAGCCAATTAACTCTCTCAAATTAATAGAAGGTGTTTTCTGTGCCCCTCCTGTGCACCCATAAGTGTAGATTGCCCCTTGTCTTGAATGAGGAACAGCTGGCCCCAGTCAGTGCAGGCTGTCTTCACCCCAAACACCACCAAGTAGGGGACAGATAGCAGCCACAGGTAAGGTGACAGAAGGAATTCTGACATAGTGCTTTTATCACTGAAGGATCCTGAACGGGAAGCAGGCATAACAATCAGTATTTTTCCCAATTCATTGTTCTGCCCTTTTTGTATATATCTGGAGCATTACTGTCCACATGAAAAAGTTAATTTAACATATCCAAGGTAGGGTCTGAAGGAATGTCATCTTCTAACATACAACTTTAAAATATGATAAATGGTCTTGAGCTTATAAAGCACTTTTCTAGTCTTCTGACTACCCAAAGTGCTTTTACACTGCAAAACACTTTACTTGTGTCTAAACAAGGTGTAGCAGCACACATAGTGGCATGTGAAGGGCACACTGGGTAAAAAAGTCCACTGAGTCACTGACCTTTCGTAACAACACATGAGCACATGCTGTCTGAACACACACACACACACACACATTGGCAAAGCATGTACAATAAACTGTAAATAACCTATAACAAATGCCCTGTGCCTAATGACATTAAAACCGTATAGTAATAAACAATCTCACCTTCTTTGCTATGTATTGCTGCTGCCTCTATGTTGGGCAGCCCCACCTCCTTAGGCTCATTCTTGATGAGCAGCAGACAGACAAAGGAGAATGCCACACAAATCATTCCAGATACAGACAGTATTGTCCTCCAACTGTAACTCTCGGCCAGAACTGTGGCAATAATGGGGCCAAAGCTGCCTGCCAGATTCTTGCTGCAGGAGAGAACTGCCCAATATGTTCCAAACTGAGAAGGTTCAAACCACTGAAAGGAGAGAAGAGGACACAAAGACATGACACCATGATAGAGTTAACAGTTATCTTACACAGAGGTGTAAAATAATCAAATCAGTGTTAAAAACTAAAAGCAGATCATATCCCACTAATGGTCATTTAACAGGTTTCATTTTGTATGATTTGACAGGCTACAAAACAGTCATGTCAAGAAAGAGTGACTTACAGTGCCATCATCAACAAGGTTTTCTCATGATATGTGTTTTCCACAATTAAACATTTTTAACATTCCAATAAGCTGGTGGATAAAATGTTTCCTGATTTTAGGGGGTGTTGCAACACCCTCAGTTGACTGTAACCTATAGTTCACAGGTTCACCTTCGCAGCTTGGTAATGCAGCTGCTTAACTTTATTTGTTGCCTGCCTGCCTGCCTGCCTATATATATATAGAGAGAGATGATATAGTGGTACGTGGTTCAGCTACCTTTCGCAGCACCCTGCCGCAGGGAGGCCAGCCAAGGCCCTGACCCAGGCCATTGAGAAACCACAAGGCAGAGAAGACAGTGACAGTTGATGACCAGGAGAAAACCACGTTGATACCTCCCACCATGCAGAGGCCAATGGAGAAGAGCCAACGGGCACTGATCTGGTCTGAGAGCACGCCACTGATGAACTTACTGATAGCATAGGACAAAGACTGACTGCTGGTGATCATGCCTAGAAACAGGGAAGGTATGAGAATCTGTGCATTTTATCAAAGCACTTAAAATGTATTGCAAAACATGGTCGGGTCCTTTATATCTCCAGCATACAGCACTGTTCTCTGTATAGTACACTAATAATTAAAGAATGAAAGATAAGGATAGTCAATAAAATACAGTGTCATACCCAGGTCATCCTTATCCAACTCAATTTCTTTCATCAGAGAGGGCATCACAAAAGAGAAAGTCTTTCTGTTGAAGTAGTACAGTGTGTATCCTACAAACATGGCCAGAAATATGGTGCCTCGGTAGTATCCATAACTTTTCGTAGCCATGACTGCAGATGCATACAAAAATGTAAAAGCTGAAAGAATGTCTTGACTCCTGACAGACCTCTGCTGCCTGTGAACTTTGCTTCAGGATCCACCGACCAGAAGCAACTGCTAACATGGGGAGTATCCAACCGGTAAGGATGGTTAATGTTCAACATCTCTTCCCCAAAACTGATTAAATCTATGTTGTCACAAGGTGCTGCAAATGGGTGGAAAATAATCAGTTATTTGGCATCAATGTTGTATGGGATCTTTTGTTTTCTTCAGGCAGCTATTCGCATTCCTTAACTTGAACAACTGCCTTATGGTAACATTCATCTATTTATGCATGTCAATCTGAGGCTGTTATGGATGAAGTCCTCTGATTACTGCAGTTAATGATTAACTGGGGAATCCAATATTGTAGACCAGGAGGAGTCTCCTTACCAAGCTAAGGGATGTGTGACCTGTGTTGAGAGCTGAGTGTCAAAAAGAAGAAGAAGAAGAAGGTCATATGACACTTTTATCAGCTGACACGATACTGCAAAGATGGTGATCTTCAGTGTGTATGTTGTGAACAAGGCTGGAGGTTTAATTTACCAATATGACAATTATACCCCGAGAGCCGAGGCTGTGAAAACATTCAGCTATCCTTTAGATATAGTACTTAAGCATCACGATGAAAAGGTAGTCGTTTCATTTGGACAGCGAGACGGAATAAGAGGTAATGTTTGAAAGCGTAACACAAGCTAATGGAGCTACTTCAGCTGACGACGTTTCCTACGATATTCAACAACTATAAGTAGACACATATACGCTTTATTGTACCTTTCAGTATAGATAATTATAGAGTTGCTTAGCCCGACTTTTGCTGTCTTAACTAGTTTTGCATTAAGTCGGCCTTGTTGTGCTCTGTATTCACTGCGTTTAATTTAATTTCAACAAGACAGCAATGTGTTGTATTCTCTATTTATGAGGTATAGTTTATTTTAATGTACAATTTATAATGTGCAGTAGTTTACATTCCCTTGTTGAGTCTTGATGCCATGTTTACATAATGTAAAAAAGATGTGTAGACAGATTTTTTAAGAAAAGAGATCAACTTCTCAGAACCTCCACTTATGTTTGTCTGGTGTAAGACTGACTGAGAAGTTCTTTATTTAAAAAAAAAAAAAAACATTCAAGTAATGGAAAATTAAAATACACTGTTCACCCAAAGTATTCGGTTTCCTCTGGGGGATCGAGGATGAGGTGTAGTGATGGTTTATTCAGTCTTCTTTGACACATGACCCATCTTTGTTCGAATGTTGCGCAGCAAAAAAAATCCAATAGTGGCAGCAGCACATGTGATCTCTGCTATCCAGAAGGCCATTTCCCAGCCATGGTACTTGGCAATGGTGCTGAACGGCAGGCCAGACAATAATCCCCCAACTGAGAAGATGATAGGGGTCATGGATTGAGTTATTCCAATGATTAGGGATATTAAGTTATTTAAAACCAATCTACTCCAGGAATGTCTTTAGGCATAGAATCTTACAATATATAAACTGAATAAAGACAAAACATGTGACAAATATAGAAACTTTGCCTTGGCATTGCATTATCAAAACAACAGAAGAAAATACTGATGTGTTATTGATGCACAATATGCTTAATCTCAAAAAAGAAAGCCAACAAACTTACTGTTAGCCATCAGGGCAACAATTGCATGGGATGTTCCACAGTAGTTGGCTGGGGCACTCTCATTGGCTATAACTCCAAACAATGCTATTGGTCCATAGGAAAAGAAACCAAAGGCAGCACCCAGGCTGAGTATCCAGACCTGATGTACAAAAATCCACGAGAAATACAAAGTCTGACATGCAGTATGCTCTGTTCAAGATAATCTAAGTCATTCATTTTGGTCCAATCGGATGTCAGTGTTCAAATACCGTTGAGCTGTGTGGAGTTACTGCGACTCTGAATAGGTACATGGACACATACATTCCAGCCATCATGCAGATCAGGATGAAGTGGCGAGGATTGCCGTAGATTCTCTTGCCTTGCTGTTCAAAATCAGTAAATATATGAAGTAATTAAGAGATTTTTTTTTTGCTCTCTATAGGCAGAATTGTATTGGTCTTTAATGTATAAGTTACAAAATGACTAATGTCATGTAATCTTTAGCCTACAACATTTTTCTGCAACATATTTAACATTCGTACCAGGATACTCCTACTGAGATACAACATCTCATTTACAAACAAGTCTTGACAAAGTTTCTCATCAAAGAACAAACAGTCACTTACACAAGCAAAAAACAAACAATAAATAAGTAGTGTCCAGCAGCAGGTCATTGACTGGCCTGACAATACAAAAATGATATCCCAATATTATGACATAATCTAGTTAAAGACATGTTAACCCTCTTCTTTCTGATTAATAGTGAACATGTCAACCTTTTTGCTGCTCCTCTTTCCCTCATCTATACGATTTAAATCATACAAGTGTGTTTAATATATAACTCACTGTGGCCACAGCTTTATCAGAGATGTATCCTGCTGCAAGACTGCCCATAAGGCCTCCAACCTCCAGGGCACTCATGTATGAGCTACCTATAAAGAAGAATATAGTGATTACAAAGAATAACTAGCCAATTAACTCTCTCAAATTAATAGAAGGTGTTTTCTGTGCCCCTCCTGTGTACCCATAAGTGTAGATTGCCCCTTGTCTTGAACGAGGAACAGCTGGCCCCAGTCAGTGCAGGCTGTCTTCACCCCAAACACCACCAAGTAGGAGACAGATAGCAGCCACAGGTAAGGTGACAGAAGGAATTCTGACATAGTGCTTTTATCACTGAAGGATCCTGAACGGGAAGCAGGCATAACAATCAGTATTTTTCCCAATTCATTGTTCTGCCCTTTTTGTATATATCTGGAGCATTACTGTCCACATGAAAAAGTTAATTTAACATATCCAAGGTAGGGTCTGAAGGAATGTCATCTTCTAACATACAACTTTAAAATATGATAAATGGTCTTGAGCTTATAAAGCACTTTTCTAGTCTTCTGACTACCCAAAGTGCTTTTACACTGCAAAACACTTTACTTGTGTCTAAACAAGGTGTAGCAGCACACATAGTGGCATGTGAAGGGCACACTGGGTACAAAGTCCACTGAGTCACTGACCTTTCGTAACAACACATGAGCACATGCTGTCTGAACACACACACACACACACACACACATTTGCAAAGCATGTACAATAAACTGTAAATAACCTATAACAAATGTCCATTTGACATGACATTAAAACCGTATAGTAATAAACAATCTCACCTTCTTTGCTATGTATTGCTGCTGCCTCTATGTTGGGCAGCCCCACCTCCTTAGGCTCATTCTTGATGAGCAGCAGACAGACAAAGGAGAATGCCACACAAATCATTCCAGATACAGACAGTATTGTCCTCCAACTGTAACTCTCGGCCAGAACTGTGGCAATAATGGGGCCAAAGCTGCCTGCCAGATTCATGCTGCAGGAGAGAACTGCCCAATATGTTCCAAACTGAGAAGGTTCAAACCACTGAAAGGAGAGAAGAGGACACAAAGACATGACACCATGATAGAGTTAACAGTTATCTTACACAGAGGTGTAAAATAATCAAATCAGTGTTAAAAACTAAAAGCAGATCATATCCCACTAATGGTCATTTAACAGGTTTCATTTTGTATGATTTGACAGGCTACAAAACAGTCATGTCAAGAAAGAGTGACTTACAGTGCCATCATCAACAAGGTTTTCTCATGATATGTGTTTTCCACAATTAAACATTTTTAACATTCCAATAAGCTGGTGGATAAAATGTTGCCTGATTTTAGGGGGTGTTGCAACACCCTCAGTTGACTGTAACCTATAGTTCACAGGTTCACCTTCGCAGCTTGGTAATGCAGCTGCTTAACTTTATTTGTTGCCTGCCTGCCTGCCTATATATATATATATATATATACACACACACACACACACACACACACATACATACATACATACATACAGTTGCAGGAAAAAGTATGTGAACCCTTTGGAATTTCCTAGTTTTCTGATTAAATTGGTCATTAAATGTGTTCTGATCTTTATCTAAGTCTCAACAATAGACAAACACAGTCTGCTTAAACTAATACCACACAAACAATTATATGTTTTCATGTTTTTGTTGAACAGAACATGTAAACATTCACAGTGCAGGGTTGAAAAAGTATGTGAACCCCTAGGCAAATTACTTCTTCAAGAGCTAATTGGAGTCAGGAGTCAGCCAACCTGGAGTCCAATCAATGAGACGAGATTGGAAGTGTTGGTTAAAGCTGCCCTGCCCTATAAAAAACACACTCCAGTTTTGAGTTTGCTATTCTCAAGAAGCATTGCCTGATGTGAACCATGCCTTGACAAAAGAGCTTGCAGAAGATCTACGATTAAGAATTGTTGGCTTGCATAAAGCTGGAAAGGGTTACAAAAGAATCTCTAAAAGCCTCGATGTTCATCAGTCCACAGTAAGACAAATTGTCTATAAATGGAGAAAGTTCAGCACTGTTGCTACTCTCCCTAGAAGTGGCCGTCCTGTAAAGATGACTGCAAGAGCACAGTGCAGAATGCTCAATGAGGTGAAGAAGAATCCTACAGTGTCAGCTAAAGACTTACACAAATCTCTGGCACATGCTAACATCTCTGTTGACGAATCTACGATACGTAAAATACTAAACAAGAATGGAGTTCATGGGAGGACACCACGGGGAAAGCCACTGCTGTCCAAAAAGACATTGCTGCACGTTTGAAGTTTGCTAACGAGCACCTGGATGTTCCACATCACTACTGGCAAAACATCCTGTGGACAGATGAAACCAAAGTTGAGTTGTTTGGAAGGAACACACAACACTATGTGGAGAAAAAAAGGCACAGCACACCAACATCAAAACCTCATCCCAACTGTGAAGTATGGTAGAGGGGGCATCATGGTTTGGGGCTGCTTTGCTGCATCAGGGCCTGGACAGATTGCTATCATCGACGGAAAAATTAATTCAGACATTTTGCAGGAAAACTTTAGGCCATTTGTCCACCAATTGAAGCTCAACAGAAGATGGGTGATGCAACAGGACAACGACCTGAAGCACAGAAGTAAATCAACAACAGAAGAAAATAAGCCTTCTGGAGTGGCCCAGTCAGAGTCCTAACCTCAACCTGATAGAGATGCTGTGGCATGACCTCACGAGAGCGATTCACACCAGACATCCCAAGACTATTGCTGAACTGAAAAAGTTTTGTAAAGAGGAATGGTCCAAAATTCCTCCTGACTTTTGTGCAGGTCTGATCTGCAACTACAGGAAACGATTGGTTGAGGTTATTGCTGCCAAAGGAGGGTCAACCAGTTATTAAATCCAAGGGTTCACATACTTTTTCCACCCTGCTCTGTGAATGTTTGCATGTTGTGTGCAATAAAAACATGAAAACATATAATTGTTTGTGTGGTATTAGTTTAAGCAGACTGTGTTTTTCTATTGTTGTGACTTACATGAAGATCAGAACACATTTAATCAGAAAACTAGAAAATTCCAAAGGGTTCACATACTTTTTCTTGCAACTGTATGTATGTATGTATGTATATATATATATATATATATAAAGAGAGAGATGATATAGTGGTATGTGGTACAGCTACCTTTCGCAGCACCCTGCCGCAGGGAGGCCAGCCAAGGCCCTGACCCAGGCCGTTGAGAAACCACAAGGCAGAGAAGACAATGACAGTTGATGACCAGGAGAAGACCACGTTGATACCTCCCACCATGCAGAGGCCAATGGAGAAGAGCCAACGGGCACTGATCTGGTCTGAGAGCACGCCACTGATGAACTTACTGATAGCATAGGACAAAGACTGACTGCTGGTGATCATGCCTAGAAACAGGGAAGGTATGAGAATCTGTGCATTTTATCAAAGCACTTAAAATGTATTGCAAAACATGGTCGGGTCCTTTATATCTCCAGCATACAGCACTGTTCTCTGTATAGCACACTAATAATTAAAGAATGAAAGATAAGGATAGTCAAGAAAATACAGTGTCATACCCAGGTCATCCTTATCCAACTCAATTTCTTTCATCAGAGAGGGCATCACAAAAGAGAAAGTCTTTCTGTTGAAGTAGTACAGTGTGTATCCTACAAACATGGCCAGAAATATGGTGCCTCGGTAGTATCCATAACTTTTCGTAGCCATGACTGCAGATGCATACAAAAATGTAAAAGCTGAAAGAATGTCTTGACTCCTGACAGACCTCTGCTGCCTGTGAACCTTGCTTCAGGATCCACCGACCAGAAGCAACTGCTAACATGGGGCGTATCCAACCGGTAAGGATGGTCAATGTTCAACTTCTCTTCCCCAAAACTGATTAAATCTATGTTGTCACAAGGTGCTGCAAATGGGTGGAAAATAATCAGTTATTTGGCATCAATGTTGTATGGGATCTTTTGTTTTCTTCAGGCAGCTATTCGCATTCCTTAACTTGAACAACTGCCTTATGGTAACATTCATCTATTTATGCATGTCAATCTGAGGCTGTTATGGATGAAGTCCTCTGATTACTGCAGTTAATGATTAACTGGGGAATCCAATATTGTAGACCAGGAGGAGTCTCCTTACCAAGCTAAGGGATGTGTGACCTGTGTTGATCATTATAGGAATGTATATAGGACAGAGGTATAGGTGCATATAGCTGCAAATAACCATTTAATGGCATTATGTACCTCGTTCCTGAGTGATCAATGGGCAATTTTGAGCACAAAAACATATATTTTGAAAGAGCTTTAAAAACCTCTTAGTATAAAAGTTCAATGCGAGAAAAATTAATTGGTTTGAGCAAACTAAAATCAATACTGTATTAATTAGCCTAAGTCAGTTATAATGCTTGCAACAAATAAGGGTGCATTAACAACCTCTCAAAGTCTCAGTGTGCAGGTAGGTTACCGCCTTACCACCCACTTGCTCGCATTATTTTCAAAAGTATTAAAATGCATGTTAGGGGGGCTTGCTGGTGGCGCAATGGTTAGGGCGTGCGTCCCATGTGTTGAGGCTCTCATCTCAAGCAGTAGGCCCGGGTTTGCCTCCACCCGTGGCCTCCCTCCATACGTCATCCCCCACTCCCTCCCTGGCTTCCGACTCTATCCACTGTCCTGTCTCTGCATTAAAAAGGTACAAAAATCCCCCAAAAAAAATCTTTAAAAAAAAAAAATGCATGTTAGGTAAGTATTTTAATTTAACTTTGCCATTTTATGTTGGCATTTCCATGTTTTGTTTTGTGCTTGTATTATGGCTGTATGTTTCCCTGTACTGTTTGTCCTTTCTCCCTTTCTGTTGTCTCCAGCCCAGGTGAAGATACTAATTGAACAATGAGGCACACTTGGCCTCAGTGCTTAAAAGCCCATGCAGGGCTGGTTGCAGGAAAAGAGGCATTTGGAGTTGGGACTGCTGTGCCTCTCAGTCAGGGATTGTCTTTTGTTATATTACTTTCCAAGTTGGACTTTGTTATCATTAAGTTTGAGTAATTGTAATAAATCTCTTCTTTTCGACTTTGATAATGTGTTTTAGAGTTTTTTTATTGGGTCAATGGGCCTCATTCACTAATATGTGCGTAGAAATGTTCTTACTCCTGTGCATATGTAAAATCACCGTCGGATTCATGACACGTGTGTACCAGCCAATTTTGTTCTCACCAATTTGTGTATGTTAATAAATCAGAATCATAAATCCACAGGCGCGTGCCTGAAGCCTGAAATCAGCATACTACCACACCCCCATCTCTCCATATAAGGACATCCGATTGGTATATCAGGTCGAGAGCGTCGAGGTGGAGACAGTTTTTGGGAGATGGCCCCAAAAGGCAAAAAAGATCGGTGTGTCTGGGGGCTTAGATGCCGTTACAGGGAATTACATAGTTGCAGCAGTACATGCATTGGAAGTCGGAATCAGCTGATCAGTCATTCGTCACACTGTTCACGTTTTGATGGTCTGATGCACTGTCTTCTGAAGGCACCGGCTGCAATTTGTTTCAGCAAAGCTGGATCTTTACACTTTCTTGGACGTAAATCACAATCATGTATGTTCCCTGCATGCTCTTAAATAGTCTCAGATTAATCAGATGGTTTTGGTAACAGATGCGATATTTCATGGCACTATTAGTGGGAGTGGTCGACGATTAGATTTAAAGAGCCCATATTATGCCCTTTTTGGGGTTCGTATATTTAATCTATGTACCTACTTTTGTACATTCACAATAGCTAAAGTTATAAAAAGTGTCTGTTTTCATGTACTGCTCCTCCTTGCTCCCTCTCCGCTCTGAGTCCGTCAGCTCACTCTGTTGAGCCCACACTGTTAGACCCCACGTGGGCCAAGTCTGCTCTGATTGGTCTGCTGATCCGCTCTGTCATTATTGGTCAGTTGCTCAGCACGCTTCTCGGAAATTTCAACATGAGCTGCAGGGCTTGACACAACGAGCCAATGGACTTAGATCAGTGATCTCACACTGACAATGACGCTGCACTGACAAATTTTTATCGCAGGGGGCTAGAACCGAGCATTACATGCGGCTAATGCTACAGCTAACGGGAGGACGTAGGAGAAGCCACGTTTCCGCGGACTTTGAATTTTTGCACATAGATGTGCCTAAACATGCACAGGACACTTAGAAAACACACTAAAGAGCATATAAAACCAGAAAAAGCATTATATGGGACCTTTAATATTTTAGATTAAAGGATAAGGTGAACATTTCATAGTTATTTAATACATTTAGTCAATGCCCTAGTTAATTAACATTTTTAATGCTTGTCTTTTCAACATTTTTTAAATATATATTTATATAGCCTATGTCGTTTTTTTTTTACTGAATGTATTTTAATATGTCATGCATTTAGTTAAAAGAGTGTGTGTTAACATTTTCTGAGAAAGCTGGTCAATCATTTGTGCGTACACATGGTCTGAGGAAGTTCGATTTTTGTTCGCAGAGAATAAATTCAAGTAAGAAAATATTGATGAATCCCAGATTTGTGCATCAAACGTTCGTACGCACGATTTAAGCACATATTTGTGTGTACGCGCTGTTAGTGAATGAGGCCCAATGTGTGGATTGTTGTTAGCCCCATAGGGCTGCCTTATGGTGGGGCGTAACACTTGTTTAGTTTAACATTACAGAGACTCTGACACATTTGTGTTTTTTTTTTAACTATTTTGCCTTATCCTTCTCTAGCAGTCCTTGCTTACACAATGTCGGACTCAGACAATGTCATCTGACCGACAAAACAAAAATACCACAAAAATACAGCCACATGTAAGTAGTTTGAATTGCATTATAGTTACATGTTTCTATGTATTTCTGTTTGTACTTACATTTATAGCCTACAGTTTAGGCCTGGGAAATAATACAAATAATAATAATTTATTTTGATAGACCGCTAATTAGCTAACTAGCTACTTCCAAGATATCATTAGATTAGCTTGACAAACCCAAAATAGTGAATCAAAGATATCTCACTCACATATTTTGATAACCTTACTTGCATATACCCAGTCAAAGACACCAATTATCTTAAATAGATTAAAACGATAATAATACATGGACTGAGGAAGATTGCGCTTGTTAAAGCTAATTATTTTTCTAACTTAATTAAACTGTAAATGGCTAATTATGTGCCTGCTGTCTTTACTTATCTGAACCTTGTTTGTTTAACAGGACCTGCTGAGACAGTAGTTGCTAGAGAGACTTCTCAACAAACTGCAGTCTGCCTTAAATCAACAACCTCTGAATTTGGATTATTTGGAATTCCTGACTGGTAATGAGCTTATTGTGTTTTCTGTGCTGGATCCTAAATTGTGTAGAACTTGCTGAAGGTGATATGTAAGAATCACACATCTTTAATTCCACTTTGTTTATTTGTTACCACCACCACAGCCACATTAACTTTGTTGATGAATCAGTGGTTCTGTATAAAGACTTTAAACTTTATTGTCCCCATGGGGAAATTCTTTTTCACAGCACCGTTACTGTCCAAACAGACTATTACCACCAAATAACATACATACACAAAACACAAACAGAATGGACTCAAACAGAGTACGGTCTGTGCTGTCGCAGCGGAGCGTGCGCCATATTGGATCAGTCTAGTATTCACAAGTATAAACAGGTAAGTTACACAAACATCAATCAGAAAGGAAAGCAGTCTGCATCACTCAGGACCCTTCACACCCCCTTCACCACTCGTTTCAGCTGCAGTCGTTTTAGAGTACCACTGGCAAAAAATAAAACTTACAGAAACTCTTTTATTCCCACTGTAATACGCAAGGCTAAATAAGCAATGTTTTTTAAATGCTGTGCATATGTGTTTTTACCTCGGGTACTTTTAGCTATTTATGACCTAATGTGAGTGTTAGTGTGACTATTTGTATGTTTTCATGTTGAGCCTCAACAAAAGTTAATTTTCTGTCACAATGTGATAGACAATAAAGTTTTTTGAATCTTGAATCTTGAATCCAAAATCAATGAAACTCAATCAAACAAATAACTATTTCAAGCTAATCTAAAGAAACCAAACATTATCAAGCAAGACTTGTGAATGAGGAGTAAGAGTGTAGTTGTGTGTGTGTGTGTGTGTGTGTGTGTGTGTGTGTGTGTGTGTGTGTGTGTGTGTGTGTGTGTGTGTGTGTGTGTGTGTGTGTGTGTGTGTGTGTGTGTGTGTGTGTGTGTGTGTGTGTCTGTCTGTCTGTCTGTCTGTCTGTGTGTGGATAGGAAGATGGTGGTGTAACCCCGTGTTGTGCACACTTAACAATGACTTGGCGTGGTCTGTTGTCTAAAGAGGCCGAGTTAAGCTCGGACTCTGCACGGTCTGTATCTCTGAGGCGTTTGAATGGCAGCGAGTGTACAGATCTATGTGTGAACTTACGTGGTGGTGGAGTTGTGCTCCTATGCGGGAAGGCGTGTGCGTTAGTTAGCAAGAGAGAGTTGAGGCTGAATCACAGTTCAAACTCCGCGCCACAACTCAGGAGGAATTCTCTTCATTCACAGAAAGAACCCAATGGCCGAATTCAAGTTTAGATGGTGTATACACTGGTCTTTCTGATCATGAGAGTATTACCCCAGTTATAATACTATTTACAGAGAACACACACAGGATGCGGCGGCCCGAACACAGAGACAAACAAGAGTTTTCAACAGGCAAAACGCGGTGGTCCAATAAAGAAGCAAACATTTTTACAGTTTTTAAATGAATAAAGCAATTATTAAACACACTCTCTAAAGTTAATTCTGCCCAGACCTATTTAAGACACATCTTCGGCCCGTTT